TGACCGAAAGGCAAAAGCGAAGTCCGCATCGTCCAAGAGGTGGTATTGCTCCCTGAACTCACGAACACGGGCGGCTTGGGCCACTTCAGACGAGGTCTCCGGGTCCCACCTGGAGCTCCCCGCTGACTCGACCGCATAGCGCCCCCTGTCGGCCATGAGCCCTGCAAGGACTATCGCACTAGTCTGAGCCAGAACTGTCGATGCACAGCGGGCACTGCCTTGACCAGAAGTTGCAGCTTTCACAAACGATCGATCGACAGACTCGACAAGACTCGAACGTGGGCAGGCGACAAAGGAGGCAGAGGGGGGGGATGTACTCAACGTCATAGGCCACGGCCCCCAGGATCGCACGGATGGATCGGCCGGCATTCGCGACTTCGCGGGGAATGCCTGGGGTCCCAACCAGGGACGACCATGGTTCCCGCCATGGCCGCCTCCCCTGCTGCCAAAGCCGAACCAGCTCGAAGAACTCCTCGGTGTCGATGCCATCGTCCCCGTCGTCCAGCCGCTCCACGGCCAAGCCAACGTGGACCGGCAAGATGTCCAACGGGCCCAGGTCGAAGGCAATCCACTGCAGCGCCAGGCGGTCCAAGCGCGCCGCAGAGGCATGGTAGCGCTGCCACCCGACCGCTGGCCCAAGTCCCTCTTGAACCAGCAAGCAGCGGCGGTTCCATACGCCCACCCATGGGAACTGGAAGCCGCCCCGACGGTCGGTGCACCTTGCACACGGTATGTTGGTACATACGAACCGACGTACCGGGGGGAACCCAGCGATGGAGAGGGGCTGCCCTGGGGACCCCAGATGCACCAACTCCACCACGGAGGCCCAGAGGCGCAAAGCTTCCCCTTCGCGCCCCTCAGCAACCAGCTCCTGAAGGTGAGCGCTGAACTCCATCCACGCGGCGGCATGAATCACCTGGTACCTGGTGTAGGCAGCAAGGCTGGTTCCCAACCCGCTCATGGGAAAACAGGGTCCCTCCCTGCACAAAAATAAAGAACTGTCTCTCCAAGGGTTCCGCCCTCAAAAAGAGAGAACAAACGCTATTTTGGCCAAGTCACTTGAGCCAAAACATTCGTTGGTTCAAACCTATGGCAGTAATGAATACATGTTCACCCAAGCCTGCCAGACCTGAAACATGTTTACGACACCTATGGAAGGACAAGTGTCCATGCCCCAACTCTAAAACATACAGTCACACAAACACACACACACACACACATCTGCGCACACACACACACAAAGAACACTTTGCTTTTGGACCAGGAAAGAGCGAGCAAGCAAGCAAGCAAGCAAGCAAGCAAACTTTCACGCTGTTGTTTTTTTTTGGGGGGGTCTTTATTCAACAATGATGTGAACCCCCAGGTAGAAACAAAAGACACACCTTCCAACACCTGCAGGTCCTTGGACAATATGTTTCGGACATGGCCCAATCAAACACGTTCTTCGTGTGAAGCTGGAAATGGCGGAAAGCGCTTCGCTGCGCTGCTCGGGTTCCGACCAAAATCAAAGTCGGATGGCATGGCCTGTTGGGTCACCTTGGGCGGATCGACGTGTTCGGCGTGTTCGCCTGAAGCCTGCGGATCGACGATTTCAACAAGCTTGCCCAGCTTGCCCTCCATCCTCATGTGGTCAAACCAAAGATATCATGACAGGTTTTTTGTTTTTTCTCCATCCTCCACTGGCCACATTTGGATCACGTTGGATAGGGATTCCTTAACATCCCTCCAAGCTGCAAACAACTTACTGGGAAAAAGGTATCGGTGTCCCGATCCAAAACAGTGCCTCGAGACGGAGATGTTCCATGATTTGTGCTGCAAAAAGGTCTGTATAGAACCTCTTTTCGAACATGATCTGTTTATGCCTTAACTGAAGACTAAAAGCATCTTGGAATGACTGGTCTATTCCACACGAAGAGAAACAACAGGCTCTGAAATCCAACCATTCCAGCGGAAAATTAAAGTATCACTGCCAAGATCTTCCAGGATCGTTGTGGCCCATTCATGTCTGATCATATCCACTGTAAGAAATGTGGACAAACATTGGTGGGTTGCCTCCCCCAACCAGCAGCAATAATCACAATCGAATCAAATCCCTTGAAGAGTCTTGAAGGTGAAACTGTCCAACTAACTGTGGATCACCAAAACATGGTTACATGAAGTTACATGAAGTTTACCATGGTCAAAGCAGGTCTGTTTGGACGGATTCTTGAACCCAACAATGAGGACGCTCCCACAATCTAAGGATATCTAAGGTCATCATCGGAGATTCACTCCCCACCATCCACAGGTCATAGAAGCGTTCTTCCCACCTCCCACACCTCCCCAAACACCGCTGCACTGGCCGGGAAACTCCTCTCGACGACGTACCGGATACTTCGGGCCCGACGACGTCGGGCATTGAGACCTGGGGCGCCACCTGGCCAGGCGCGGCCCAGGCGCGGCCGAAGGGGGAATTCCTTTCGGGTGTTGGTGTGGTTTTTCGGTGTGTGGATCGAGCGGAACGGCTCAATGCGGAACGGCTGAAACTCGGTTTTGTGGATCTAGAGCGGTTTCTTTGTTCGACGGGGAATGGACACAGGAGGCTCGGAGATCTTGGCTCGGATCTAGCACCCGAAATGACAAGCATGCTGCAGCCTTTTGTCAAGCAATGGCAGTCGATTCTGATGAGGATCCAGCAATCACTCCCGAAATGACCTTCGGTCTCTGATCCAATGGCTCCTTCGTACCCGATTCACAAGCGAAATGGCTCCTCCCAGATGAAGCCCCACTTTGCCAGCCTGCTCACACTAAACTAGCTCCAAACAAGTGTATGGCCCACATTTCACAGGGCCTGATGGGTCTTGACATGCCTTGACTACATCCCTATAAACAAACCACCATCTTCAACTGGCGAGTCCCAACTTGCCCGGGGCGGGCGGACTCCTTCTGCCAAGCCACCGGCAGCAGCGCGGAGAGCTCTTCGACCAAATGCCGCAGGGCTCGGGCCTCAGTCGCCCCCGGTCACCGCCAAGCCCCGAGCCCCTGGATAGGGCCAACGGACCCTATGACGAACACCTCCCATCTGCGTCGTTGAGGTTTTGGTCGGGGCGGGCTGATTGTTTTTGAACCACACCCATAGGAGTTGGTCTCCAAGAATAGTCCTCAGAAGCTTGAAGAACTGGTGATCGTCTGGATTCTTCTGGACCTGGAACATACCCCAAACACAACACCCCCGCAAACCATGGCGTCCCACTCCGGCGGTCGAGTGATCGCAGCAGGCGCCCCGGGCACTGTCCGCACGCAGGTGGCATTGCACATGGCCCAACTGCAGCTCAGCCTCCCCAAGACTGGTTGGTCCGCCTGGTGTCAGATCGTCCTTCCCTGGAGATAAAACTTTGATTTCCTACTATAGAAACACCTAGAAACCAGTGGTTGCAGTGCGTGTCAAGTTGTGCAAACACACTCAAAGCATCCAACTGTAGGTTTCGAGAGACAGTCGCCCATTGGGACAACTTGTCGACGGGACCCTCCCAAGCTGTCGAAGTTGAACCGATCAATTCGCTGGGGTTCCTGGGAATTTCCACTATAGGAAAAGGACACCAACAGTTTTCCAGCATACTGTTCCTCTGGCCCCTCTTGCCTTAGAAGTAGGCCCTTCTTTTCCACACCGCGCTGCGCGGCCACTGAGCGGAGATCGACCAAAGATCTGAGCTCGCCACTGGTGGAGGCAGGAACTATCCCCTGGACCTGAAGGTTTCCTGAAGCGTTTGAACAAAGCCTCCAACCTCCAGCCTCAGTCTATTGCAAAACAACTACGTTTTTTGGTTCACTCCCATAGACATGGTCTGGTCCAGGCTCTTTTGTTGACCTCTTCCGAAACCATTTTCACACTATGTAATGACTATGTAGAAAGGCATTGTGGAACCACTGGAAGTTGGAGCTTCCACAAAGTGATAGACTGCAGGCGGCGCTGCCAACCGTGGGAAAGTAAGTTAAACTACGGTCACTGTGTCACCTGGGCAAAGTCTGCCCAATGTTACCTATATATGAAAAACTGCTCAGTGGCGCTGGTGGTCGAACTCTTAACGTCTGTTCTTGTCCCCAATTGCAATCTGCAAGATGGGGCAGAAAATAGGATTTCACATGTCAACCCTACATAGCAGGGTTTGAGCATGGAGTAACCTCCTTCAAAGCTTTATGAAGGGGTTTGAAATGGTTTGAAGCCACTCAGCACAGGCCCAAGCCCGGTCACCAACAAGTTCGGGGCACAGCTGTGATGCTGAGGAACGAGGGGATATGCCGAACAAAGGTCCACAAACTGCTACACTAGTTCATCTCAAGAAATCCATAAAGGAGACATGCACCTCACAAAATACTCTCTGTTAGACATGGGATGTTCCTGCATATAGTTGTAGATGCTTTCCATGAATGTCTTAATCTTTGAAACTGGTTCATACCACACCCTTTCAGTACCCTCTAAACATTGTAATTAGCAAATTGACAGTGGCACATAGTCACATAGTGACTCTTTTTGTGAATCTCGATCTTGGATCGCTTCACACGCACAGAAAAACCTGCTTTGAAGCAACCATGATCGACATGAAGGCTCTGGCTGCGCACTGCAGTGGCTTTGGTGCACATGATCAGGCCAGTTGAGGAGTAATCATTCTTGTGCACCGAAATTCCGTGATGTCAGAACATGCCAAGTGAAACCATTGAGACACATTGTCGGACAACAAAACCTTTACTTTACACAGTTGATCCTTCCCTCACACTTACACCTCATCTAAAGCAAAACACACATCACACATCACATGTCATGTTGAACCGTGACGTCATATAATTCCTTCCTGCAAACATCAATGTGTCCACCATCTCCACAAGTTGTCTTTGGCTCAAACATGCTCAACAACCTTCTCATAACGGGGGGGACTGACCCTGACCCATCACGGAATCACGTACCTCAACCACCACAAAATCCTCAAAGATGGTACTGTATGCACTTGGATCCCTATAGAGTTACACAGTGGCACCTTCAATTGACCCTCTTTCATTAAGGTGAAACTGTGGAAGTTTCAGGTGGCGGAGGGGCCAAATCGCCACACCTGTCGAGTTCCAAATCTGAAGGACTGGAGGAGTGAAGGAGGAACAATCCTACATAACAACCAACTGTAACAGGAAGTGTTCATCTTACTTGTAGGAGGGTGCAGTCACTTTCTTGGGTGGACTGGGCATCCAATCGGTTTGGGATTTTGAACGAATAGGGTCTTCGGCTGCAGGCTTTTCACCCGCACGAGGGCTTTGTCTGAATTGCTGTATGCTTGCACATGTCTGGGAGAATCTCATCGGCCAACATCTTCCATCTAAGGTCCCAGATCCCAAAAAGAACATCGGCGAGGGGGCTATTTGATGGGTCCTCGCAGCTGGTGTTGGCTTGATTGAAGACATTTTTCATCGCGCAATTCCAGACTTAGACTTATTTCCACCAAGCTTCACGATTGCAAGCAAAATGAACACCGTCATTATCATTCATATATTTGCTGTCCGCTCATAGCTAGCAAGCGTGAGCAAAGGGCCTGAAAAGTACCTCGGAGGTAGTTAAAGGCACAAAATTGAGCGCAAAAGGAAAACCAAATCCCCAGCAAAGCGTGAGCAGTCGTGAGCACTCCTGAGCATTGGCGTGGCATCCTACACACCATTGCTCGCGATTTCTATGAGTGGAATTGAGTTGACTTTTTCCACGGCTGTCATTAAATTGTGGACCAAAGTCTCACTCACAGGATCCTATATATCCGGTTCTTCTGATTCCTCGTCTGTGAAACCCCAGCCACTTCTATGGGTTTCTCGGACATCGGCCTCCTAAGCACCTCCTGGGAGCAAGGTCCGACTTTTTAAGGGTCCAAGGACTCTGACACTATTTGTATGATAGAAGCATAACGACCATTTAATCATTTTGAGTTTCTACTTCATTCTAAAATTCTTGGGTCAGGCAGGTCAAACAACTGTTCAATGGCTGGTCTTGTGGAGACCCAATTGGTTGAACATAACGGCAAATCAAGTTTATTTTGTACTTGATATCTTTACTGAGCCTAGAAGGCAATACAAGAAGGCATGCAAAATACGAGGCCAGGAAAAACATATTAAACTATATGTATAATTAATTATATATGAAACAAATATATAGTAACAACTTGCCATTGAAAAAGGGGCAGGGCGAGACTGTGGTTATATTCTACAAGTGCTCTCAAAAGATTCTGCTACGGTGTTCTTCTGTGTGCTCTCTTGAGATACCGATCTACCGATCTCTGGTACAAGCGCACTCAGTGCTCTCAAAGGGCTTGCTACTACTATCTTCTACTACTACTACTACTACTACTACTACTACTACTACTACTACTAATATACCACTATGACGACTACGACTACGACGACGACGACGACGACGAAGACTACTACTACTACTACTACTACTACTATTACGTATACTAGTACTACAGTACTACTACGACTACGACTACCACTACCACACCTCTACCACATCACTACCACTACCACATCACTACTACTCCCACTACCACTAGCACTACCACTACCACTACGACTACGACTACGACTGCTACTACTACTACGACGACGACTACTACGACGACGACTACTACGACGACTACTACGACGACGACTACAACTACGACTACGACTAATACTACGACCACGACGACGACGACGACTACTACTACTATTCTACCACTACTATTCTACCACTACTATTCTACCACTACTATTCTAC